AGTGTCACGGGCGGTGTCAGAATAGAAAGCAAGTAGCACAGAGGGGAGGCAGGTCTGACCTCTCCTGCTGTAGCCAGAGGTGGTCAGATGTGGGCTCCATGTCATTTTTGCAACTTGAAAACTTGGAATCTTTAGGGGAAGGGCTGGGTTAGTGGACTAGGGAAACAAATCCAGTGATACTCATACAAGTTTAAGAGAGAGATTTATATCAAGAAGCACTTACACATCAAGAGAACACCCCAGCCCAGTCCGTCTCTAGTCCCTAAGTCGGAACCTAGTCCATCCGTCCCTCTTCAGACTCAGCAAGTCACAGGCAACGATACAGACTGCAGGAAGATCACCGGCTGGTGGGTGCAAAATCTTGTGGATCCAATGGCAGTGGACACATCTCCAGGGCTCACACAGGTCTCTGTGGCTCATCAACAGAAGGAAAAGGCAATGGGAGAGAGGGGATGTTCCCAGGACTCTCCTTATGAGAAGGTCACGCCCACGGGAAGGCACCATCAGGCTGCGACCTGACTGACAGGCTAGACTCCTGCCCTACACTTTTATACCTTCAAGTTGACATGAAATTATGTAACTACCTCAAGTTGCACCCCTCTAAGTATATGTAAATCCTAACATCTATGCCTGTGGTTAGAGTTCCACTGGGGGAATGGATTGTTTTGGCCATGGGGCAGGATTAATGTGGGGTGTACCTGGAGTCAATTTCTTTTGAGATATAAGAAAGATTGAGCGAAATGTGGAGCCCTGGTGGGGTAGTGGCTACATGTTGGGCTGCAATCCTTATGGTAAGCAGTTCGAAACCACCACCAGCTCCATAGGAGAAAGACTGGGCTTTCTACTCCCTTAAGCAGTTAGTCTTGGAAACTCCCAGGGGGGTCTCTATGAGTCAGCACTGACTTAATGGCTTTGAGTTTGGTTTGAGGAGAGAAGCAGCCGTGGTGGAAGATATATGTCAAGTCACATAAAGACTGTTCAGAAGTAGCAGCTCAGAAGAGACAAGGACCTCCCTCCAGAATTAACACAAAGAAAGCTGTTCCCTCGAGCCATCACCTTGAACTTGGTGTTTTAGCCTCCCACACGGTGAGAAAATAAACTTGTTAAAGCTATCTACTTGTGGTCCTTTTTTTATAGCAGCAACAGATAATCAAAATGATTGCCCAGGACCTTGGCTTTCTCCCTCTCCTACCCTGCATGGCCCCATAGTCACTACCATCAATTCTATCTCAGCTCCTCTCACTGCCAGTGGCTTGGTTCAGATGCACAGTGAGCCTCTGGGACAGAGTGGAACTACCCATTTGGGTTTCGGGGGCTTCATCTTTCTCCAGTGGAGCTCATGGTGGTTTCGAACTGCTGACTTTTGATGAGTGGGTTACGTGTTAGCAGCCCAACACGTGACCCACTATACAACCAAGTCTCCTTATTTCCAAACTCACAGGAACTTAATAAGACAAAGTAGGCCTGTTCGTGAGTTTCCAAGACTGTAAACCTTTATGAAAGCATGCAGCCCCATAAAGGAGAGGGTGGTGGGTTTCAGTTGCCCATCTGTGGTTAGCAGCCCAAACCCAAACCCACGATGGCAACGGGGTCCTTCCTCCGTTATATCAAGTCCCAAATTCTTAGCCTGACCTTATGCAGTACAACTTCTCCAAAGTCTTGCCCCTGGGCACTCAAGCCTGTAGAAGGGTCACTTCAATGCTAAATAATTATCAAAGTATTTTCCTAAAAGAAGCTGCCATCTAACTAAGATTTCTGATACCAGGTATTGATAGGAATACCAGGGTAAGTAAAAAATTGCTACTAATTTAGAAACATAAACAAAAATGTCAAAATGTGAAGCTCCTGTTTCTCCACATATCCTTTATCCACGCCTATACATGACTGCGGACAGGCCGTCCATCTCTCTACGGACAGGCCGCCCATCTCTCTACGCCTTCCCAGAAGTAACTCCATCAGTGCCATGTCAAAATGGCAGGTTGGTCGTCCTTGAGGGATTATCAGTGTAAAGAAAACAAAACTCCTCCCAACAACTGGACCAACATACAACCTCACGAGAAATGGAGAAGTGATCGTACGTGGCAAGTGTTTCATTTTACTTGGATCCACGATCAACTCTCATGGCAGCGGCAGTCAAGAATCTAAATGATAACGGCATTGGGCAAATCTGCTCCCCAAGATTTCTGTAAAGTGCTCACAGAAACAAAGATGTCATTTTGAAGACGAAGGTGTGCCTGACCCAAGCCCAGGGTATGTTGGGTCCCCTCGCAGGCATGTGGAAGCTAACCAATGAATCAGGAAGCCAGAGTGGAAAAGATGCATTTGAATGGTGGCTTTGGTGAATAGCACTAAATACGCTGTGGGCTGCCAGAACAGACGGACGTGTGCTGGAGGAAGTATACTAGGAATACGAAGTATACCAAGTACAAAGTGAGCAGAGTGAGCCTTTGCGTCACATACGTTGGACAAGCTTATCCGGAGAAACCGATACCTGGAATAGGACATCACCAGGGGTGAAGTGGAGAAAGATGAGGGAAAAGAGGAAGACCTTCCGAGAGATGGAATGCAACACTGGGCTCAAAATACCAATCATGAGGCCAGCGCTGGACGGGGCAGTGTTTCGGTCTCTTACACAGGAGTCAGAGTGGGCTTGATGGCATTTAGCACCAAACAGAGAGATTCCCATTGTGCTCCTTTTCAATATTATTGAGTTTGGGGTATAAAAACAGATAGATCTCAAGGGGCCAGATCAGGACTCTCAGGTAGATAGGATAAGGCTTCCCAACAAAAAAAAACAGATCTCAAGGGGCCAGGTCAGGGCGCTCGGGTATGTGGGATAAGGCTTCCCAACAAAACTTCCACAGGAAAGCCCTTGCTCCCCCAAGAGACTGAGCAGCTGCACGGTCATCATCAAGAAGAATCACACATTCACTTGCCCACCCCTTTCCCTCACCTGGGCGCACTTCCGTCTTCTGAACACTTCATGATAAGCCTGTCTTCATCCTGTGTCCATGGAGAAAATCTACCAAGTTTGCCCCTTTGATATTCCCAAGAGGTCTCCATGACTTCCAGCGCCAACCTCTCTGCTGAGACCAGTGTCTCGCTGTGGGAAGTGGCCTGGCACCATCCACTGATTGCAGGGACATATTTTGTGTGGAGTAAGCAAAATCCGTGAAATATGAATTGGAATGAAATGTGACCATCCTTGTTGACATGCCCGCACATCGACTTACTGTAAGTTTCTTCACTGCATTGTACTCACATACACAATCAGCCACATTCTAAATATCTTACACATAAAAAGGAACTTCCTTCTTGTGAAGCATGATTATGCAAGGCGGTATGTTTCAAGTTTATTTCAGCATTTCAATATCCCAGGCAAAAATGACCACAGCATACCATTTTAAAGTTGTTAAAAAAAAAAAAGGTTTATTTTGTTACAAAATATTAAATACTAAAGCTAAAAACATATAAATTCATGTCAGGCTATATTAAAATATACACATACTCTTCTTTGCAAAATTATTAAAGGCTGAATTAAACAGATGCTTTAAATAAAATAAAGAACCCTTTGAAGACATTTTTTTTCTAGTTACCTTGGTGTAGTGTTATTTTCAAACAGTTGAAAAGGTTAGTTAGCTGTTTTAAAATTTATCCAATTCTCCAGACTTCTACTACTAAATCCAAAGCCACCATGCTGGCTTCGACCCAGGTGGATTTCATGAATGTCACTGAAACTTCCCTAGTAGAAGTCTAGCCTCTCATAATATGAGCGCATAGTATGCAAAAGTGTACAGAAAGTTAAATGAGGTGAAAACATGGCTCAGAAAAAAGAGAGAGAGAGAGAGACCTTATTTCTAACATTGTTTCTATTCTAATTCATAGATTTGGTATATTGAAGCAAGAGATCAGCCCAAAGCACATATCCTTCTACAAATAATCTTTCAATTCAAACAAAAACTCAAGAAAAGCACTGATTTCTCCACGCAGTTTTAAAATTGTGCTTGTTATTTTAAATGGTGGAAACTCGGAGCCTACCTCCGAACGACTTTAAAAACGAATTTGATTGCTGTTTTGACTCGATCAGGACAGCTGTCACCATGTGGGTGGTGATTGTCACATAAAGTGGTGACGAGCTTTCAGTAAAGCAAGAACAAGAACAGCGACAGAACTACCCGCTGCTTCCAAACGCAGCTCCCAATGGGGTCAAGCAACCTAAAGAACTACCCACCCTCTATTTAAACTTTAAACAGCATTTCCAAGAAAACAGTTTGCTTTAGAAGTTACATTTCCCCAGAGGCTACATTAAAAGTTTCTACTTAGAATTTTAAATATCATAATTCATTGAGAAGCATATGCTTATGATGAAAGACTATAAATTGTTTTAAAAGTTCTTAAATGTGAATACATTTCTAGAAACTGACTACAGTGATCTATTCTTTATAATACTAATCTTGTCAAGTGGGATTTGTAAATAGTTGATTAAACAATTTTTCAAACATATAGAGTGTGTTCCATTAATCTTCACGGACACGGTCCAATTAAAGTCAGGTTTCTGAGTATATCCTTGTAGGGAGGGTTTTTTCCTGTTTTCTCTTCAAGTGTAGCTACCTACCCAAGGGCTCACTGCCCATGACCCTAAAACTCTAGGACAGAACTAACTACACCTTTGAACAACTGGGAAAAGTATGGGGATTCTAACATCACTGGAGGTTCAAAGGAAAATACATTTCAATACTGGGTTTCAGATGGAATGATACTAACAAATAGTAATCTGGTTTTCCAGATTACTTGTGAACTTCTGATAGATTTTTATCGACGTCTAATCCAGAGAAACTAAGCCTCTATCCCCTCTTCTAGTACCATTTTCTCTACATGCACCAAACGTCTTTGACTCATACATCTACCCACTGCCTCCACGTCGATTTCAACTCACAGCAAACCTCATTAGAGTTTCTCAGGCTGTAAACTTTTTGGTGTCGACAGCCTCAACTTTCCCTGTGGAGTGGATGGTGGGTTTGAACTGCCGACCTGGTGGTCAGCAGTCCAACACTTACCCAACAGTGCCAGTGTCTCTAGGGTTCCTTTGGGTCCCCCCCACCTCCCCGAACTCACTAGGTTAAAAGGACAAGATTTGCACTACTCTTAAACTGCCAAGTTCAGAGTCCTTAGAAAGAATTCAAATACATCAAGCCACTGACACTCTAATTGCAGTAAGTACATTAAAACAGGAAAGCCTGGAGCTTACATGGCAAATTCTCTAAAAAGCATCTTTTTTTTTTTTTAAATGAGTATCTTTTCAAATGTGTATAAAGGCCACACTGGTCAATCACTCTCATAATATGCGGATCTTACAAAAAGAACTAGAGCCAGACCTGTGAGTATTTTAAAGCGAAGCCAGGAGTTAATGTGTTTCTCACTCCCCAGTGGAAGCGTAGTTCATAGAGACTTCCCCAGAGGAAGGAAGCCGACTGCATTCCCTTCCCTCCCCAGGCATCCCTTCCCTGGGATAGCAGCAACCTCTTCTGTTTCCAGAGGGAATGATGTTTGAGCACAAAAACATGCTCCTTCTTCCCAGGAAAGAGACGGAATTTGGGCGGCCCACTGCACAGCGAGCATGCAGGCTCCTGTTCAAGCATCAGTCAGAGTTTCACAACGGTGGCCGCCGAGCACTGACCCAAACTCGAAGCCCTACTAGGCACGGAGCCCCTGTGGCCTCCCAGCTGCCTAATCCAAGTCCCGGGGAGACAAGGTGGCTCAGCTGCCTTGTTCATATGAAAAATGACTTTCTATTTTTGTCATGATGGCTCAGTCACTGATTTGGAACAAAATGGTATTTCACTGCCAGAATCCCTGGTAAATTTCTATTCCAAAAATCTCCAGTTAGACTGGTCATTCTTCCCTGGAAGAATATACAACTAGCCATACTGGATCTTTCAATGCCTCTTACTTTAATAGAGCAATTAGACATGATGAAATTCGTGTATTAATCCTAAGTGGGGTTTTAAAAATTTGTTTTAATTTAAACTTTTCCTAACTCGGCGGCCTTAAGTCACTGAAGCAAGAGGGTCTCTTAAAGGGAAAAAGTGGCTAACCACAGCTGTCTACACTGGGTTAAAGTCTTAGCCTACAGTTTACCTTGTTCCCCTTTAAGCCCATACTAGAGCGTTCAAAGAGAACGGATGGTCACACGAAGCTGAATGGTGATTTTTTTAAACACCCATGTCGTTATCTGTCATGGGCGTTTTACCTGGGACCCCATCTCATCCCATTCTTCATCCTCATGATTTGAAAAGGAAGTGTAAGTCTGCAAAGGCTCCAGCTCACATGACCAAGCAGCGGCATTTCCGGGAGTGGATGTACTTCCTGTATTCCGCAAGCTGCTTCAAGTACAGGTTTGAAGGCCATCTGTGCTTCTCAACAAAGCTGCGTTCTTCCACTAAAAGTTTTAGAAAAAGAGTGTTAGTGGGGCATGTTGTACTTGAATTGTTTCACATCGAGAGCCAAGTAATACAAGCATCTGCTTTTTGAAAACCAAGCACTGAAAAGACTCAAACACAAACCAGCAAGACCCTGCCACCCCTGCCGGTCGCCACAGCCCCACCCTCCCTTGCTTCCTGGGCCTGCTCCTCCCACCTGATGGCAGGCCCCTCCCTCTGTTTGGGAACAGAACTACCTGTACCACCTTCATGAAAGGTGAGGGAGGGGTACATACTATGTATTTTGAGGCAGTACTTGGGATAATTTAGGCTACTGATGATTGATTATGGCGTATGATGGATCATTTGGTGTGGTACATAATTGTAGGCTAAAAACCTCTCAGAATGTAGAAGACAGAACTCCATTGCCTTTCAAACGCCTAGATACAGGTGTGACCTGCGTCATTTTGGGGGTTTGCTTTTAAATCCTAAAAACTCTCTCATGTTCTACTTAAACTCGGTATTCTGACATGTCTCAAAGATATGCCTTGAACATTCATAAAGCTGAGAACTTAGAAAATCCTTTCAATCAGTTCCCACAAATCATTCAACAGAAGATTAACTCCTTGCTTTGTTTCTTGGATAATCCCTCCTCACGGCCCCTCTCCCCTCCACGGACTTCTATTAGTTAGACACTGCAACACCCAGACTGAGCTTCCAATTTAAAATTGTCTTCACCTGTCTTTTTGTCCTATGACCTGGAGATTTTAACTTTATTGTTTAAATCTTTAATTTTAGTATTTGTGTGACGTTTGCTATCATGCTTTTCATCTGCAAGACTGGTATCTTATACCTAGCATCAACTAGATGGCAGTGAGTGAGCTTAGAGGTGCCATGGTTAAACTTTCAGGTGGTTCAAACCCACCTAGCAACGAGCCAGGAGAAACACCTATAATCTGTTTCTAGAGAATCTTAGAAGAAGAAAAAAGCCCATGAGGACAGTTCTACTCTGTCACATGGGGCTCCCATGAGTCCGAATTGACTGGATGGCACTTCACAAAAACAATATAATATTAAGCTACATTAAACTAACTGAAAAAAAGAAAACAACAAATATCCAAATCTATGGCCCATTGAGTCGATTCCAGCTCATAGCAAGCCTGGGGGGCAAAGTCGAACTGTCCTGGGGGGCAAAGTCGACTTGGAGTTTCCAAGATTAAGATCTCTGCAGAAGGAGACCGTCACAGCTTTCTCTCAGGAAGTAGCTGGTGGGTTCGAACTACAGATCTTTAGTGGAGCATCTTAGTAACCGTGTCACCAGGCCTCCTCAGCAATGCAGCAATGAGTAGCAAGAGTCCCTCCCTCTATGAAGCTTATATAGTAGTGGTAGGATCAGACAATGAACTGATAAACTAAAAATTAAAGAGGCATTATCAGGTGGCAATCAGTGCTCTGCAGAAAAACAAAGCCCAGAAAGCGTGCAAAGAAGGGGTGTCATCGTAGGTCAGGTGGTCGGGGAAGGCTGCTCTGAGAAAGAGATAATTGAGCAGGGATCCGAATGAAGTGAAAAGGGAGCCTTGCTGAGATCTGGGGAAAGCACATTGTGGGCAGAAGTGGGAATAGGCTTGGCAAGTTGGATGGACAGTAAGCAGGGCAGGGTGGCTGGAACGCAGCAAGGGACAGGGAGAGAGGAGGGAAGTGGCATCAGAATGGTGGGGAGAGGAGTCAACCCAGGGCCCTGAGGCAAACAAGTTCTCTTAAAGGGCCCGTGGAAACAAAGGGTAAATAAAAATATGATGATATGACACCATGTCAGCTCAACAGGTGCAGGAATATGAATGGGGGTTAAAACCACACATCTATGCGTTTGGCAGGGGACGTTTCTATGTATGTATTTGTATGTGCTGTAAATATATCCAAGGATATACTACAGCATACAGGGGGCAGCATTCTGAGAAAGTCTTAACCTAAACCTCACATCTTGACCGACTGAATCACTGGGTTGAGGGCTTCAGGGCACAGTCTCGGGGGACATCTAGTTCTACTGGCACAAGTGAGCTCACAGAGACAAGGTTCGACATTCTACTGCTGTGAGTAGTGCGTGACTGCAGTCTTGAAACTTTGCACTGGACATCTAGTGTAAAGCTGGTCTCTCTCCATCTGGAGCTAAGGACAGGGAAGACAATGAAAGATTCAAGAAAACAATTCACTCAAAGGACGAATGGACCATGTGACCCGGAGCTCCTGAGACCAGAAGAACTCGGTGGTGCCTGATTACCATTACCGATTGCTCTGGTCAGATTCACAACAGAAGGTCCAACAACAAAAGGAGTGGGGGCGGGAGTAGGAAAAAATTCAAAATCAAATAAAATACCAGATTCATTGGTCTGAGAGAGACTGTGGCCTTGGACACCCCACCAGCCTGAACCGAACCCACAATTTTCAGTCAGACCACAGACAGGCCTACCAACGGAAAGTACCGGGGACTGCCAAGAGCACAAACCAATCTCTCTTGAAAGAAGTATGGGCAAGACTCCATAGAGGAAGGATGGCCAGACTTCCTCTCACATACTTTGGGCCTGGGGTCGAGAGAGACCATTCCCTGGAGAAGGACCTCACACTTGGTAAAGTGGACGGGCATTGCAAAAGCATGACGGATGGCCACAGTGGTTGCCGCACTGGGCTCGCCCATCTGGACAACTGTGGGGATGGCGCGGCCCGGCAGGTGTTTGGTTCCGTTGTGCACAGGGTCACGCTGAGTTGGAACGGACCCGTCAGCACCTACCACCACCACCATACAGTGACTGATGACACGCCTAAGTATAACCACATGAAGCCCAACGGGGGTAATTGCCCCAAAGTCCAACAGACAGGAAGGGCGAAAAGAAGACTGGAAAGAGGAGTCCCCAGGAGGAAGTAGGCAGAGTGCTAGTACATTGAGGGGCCTACAACCAAGGTCAGGAAATAAAACGTATACAAAGAATTCAAATTATAGACATCAATTCTTCAATGGAAAATAGCGTTCTGTAGACCTTCAAAGTATAATGAAAAAAGATAGTGACATGGTATTATAAAATAATATAATGGAAAAAATCTGAATACATTTTTCTGAGAGGATTCCTAAAGTTTAAAAAAATAAGGGCTTGGTCAGGAGGTCTTGAATGTACTCTGAGTATGTGAACCTCGGCCCCTGCCCCCGCCAGTTCCCTATTTCAACACAATGCATTTCTAGAGGTAATATCTGATGTTTGAAGAAAGCATTTGGGAACTTTAATAAAATCTCCAAGAGCTGGGGGAGTTGACGAGATTAAAAATGAACAAGCCTATCATCTGCGGCTCATACCCCTTGACCTCTGCACGAATCTTCAGAGAAATCACTTTAATAAACAGAACCTTCCCAACAATACCAATGGAAGACTTCTGAAGTGCAGAGTGGTATAAAAGAGGATATTAATCTGTTCAGTCAGTGCCAAGCAAACGACAAATAGCATGGACAAATTGAAACTCCCAAACGGAGCCCCACGGGGGAAAAAACCCCTTATTTTTCAATTCATGTCTTTAAACAGAGAGCTGACAGGGGCCCTTGTTCATGCGTGCCCTTCCACAACAAGGGACCCTGAAGTGTCTCTCACAGCATAAAAAGGTCACCAACTCAAATACCAAGAGGGTTCAGGATGACACATTTCTCACACGTGTGAGTCAGGCATGAAACCGCAGGAGCAGAGGGACTCTGATTTGGAGAGAGAGCAAGGAGCCTTCGAATGCACAGCCGATGCTTGACTCCAGGTGACGGTGGCCACAGGGACCTGGACTGGACTACCCAGATCTCTCAACCACTCAAAGGAAGCCAGAGAGCTGAAGCCTGAGAATTGGGGACAAGTCATGAGTTTCTATCATTAACACTAAATAAGAAATATTGTGTGATGACTAAATAAAAAAAAAAATCTACCAACAAAACCCTCCTGTTAGGTGCTGTTGCGTTGGCTGCAACTCATGGAAGTCCTATGGACAACACAAGGGAACACTCGCTGGTCCGGTGCCACCCTCCCAATTGTTGTTACTTAAGTTGGAGGCTGCTGTGGCAGCCCCTGTCCCAATCCATCTCCTTGAGGGCCAGTGACCAGTCTCTCATGATAACATGTTCCAAGTCCAGGGGATGCGGTCTCACCATCTTACTTGTGATGGTGCTTCTTCTAAGATGGATTTGTTTGCTCTTTTGTGATCACACTTCTTCCAAGGTAGATTTTTTGTTCTCCTAGCAGTCCGTGGTACTTTCAGTATTCTTCGCCAACACCATAATTCATATGCATCGGATCCTCCACATTTTTCCTTATTCAATGTCCAACTTTTCCCATCCAACAAAACCCTAAGCAGGCTGCATTGATCCCAAGGACTGCTAGCTTATGATCCCTGATTTACACTATCAAATTCTCTCTTATCCGGAAAAAAAGGTCCTTTCCGCCCCAAAAAAAGCCCCAAAACGGGCCCCTGGCCCCGAACAAACAACGCCGAACCAAAAAAACCAAGAAGCCCCTTCAAACCCCCTCAAAACAAACCGAAAAAAAACCCCAAAACCCTAACCCGCCGCCCCAAAAAAAAGCCCCGAAAACCGCCTTTTCTTTTACTATGCCAGGTGTGGTCATTGTAGGCAATTGTCTAATATAATACAATGCAAGTCAATAATGCACCTTTGAAAAAATTTTTGGAAAATCTTTCTTCGAAAGATATAATAGCACTTCACAAGTAGCATCCGTCTATGTTGGGGTAAGTACCATAGAATCAGGCCTGATCAAATGCAACCCTAAACACAACAGAAACACTGACAACTGTGCTTGTGCTCGAGCCACTGTGTAGTTTGTCCCGTTGAGGGCCGCCTTCATTTCCACACCTGATGTCTTCTCCGGGGACTGGTTTCCCTGAGCGACGATGCCAAGACATGGAAGATGAAGTCTCGCCGCCTGGCTGTACTTCTTCAGAGACAGATTGGTTTGTCCTTCTTATTGTCCTTTCGATATTCTTCTCCATCACCACAATTCAGATGGATCGATTCTCCTTTTGTCTTCCTTACTAAATGTCCAACTCTCACATGCATAGGAGGCAATTTAAAATGCCAGGGCTGGAGTCAGGTGCACCTTAGTCCTAAAAGTAACGTCTTTGCTTCTCAACACTCTGAGATGACTTGTGCCGCAGCTTTACCTAATGCAACTCACCTTTTAATCTCTGGACTGCTGGTTCCATGAGCACTGACTGTGCATCCAAGTAAGACAACTTCAATCTTGTCTCCCTTTATCATGATGCTACCTATTGGTCCAGTTGTGAGGATTTGAGTCTTCTGACAGGAACTGTACCAGACTTGAGGCTGCAATCCTGAATCTTCGTCAGCAAGTGCTTCGAGTCCTCCTCACTTTAAGCAAGCAAGGGTGTGTCATCTGAACATCACAGGTTGTTAATAAGCCTTCCTCCAAACCTGACACCACCTTCCTCTTCATATAAGCCAGCTTCTCGGATTATGTGCTCAGCACACAGACCGAACGTGTACGGTGAGAGAATACAACACATCTTTCCTGATTTTAAACCATTCAGTATGCCCTTGTTCTGTGGACACAACTGCCTCTAGATCCATGTACAAATTCCCCATAAGCACAATAAAGTGTTCTGGAACACCCATTTCTCTCAAGGTTATCCCTAGTTTGCTATGATCCATACGGTCGAATGCCATGTCATCCTCCCTAAAACACAAGTACACATTTTGCTGATCTTCTTGACATCCAACTATTCAAGATAAAGACCCACCCCCACCAAGGTGACTACAGTGGATGTGGCCCGACAGGACAGAGTACATGGTCACACTGGGTTTCCAAGGCTGCAGCAGCGCTTAATGGAGAAGACTTCCACATCCTTCTTCCAGAACGTTGCTGGTGGTTTTGAACCTCTGGCCTTTTGGTTGGCAGCTGAGTCTTTTAAATCCTGTACCACTAGGGTACCCTTTATGAGAGAGTAAGTGGGCAGTAATCTCATTCTGCTTTTGCCAATGGAGGTGCTCTACGAAGGCACGATGATGAAGCAGATCTAGCGTGAAAACGCAGCGCATTCACCTGGAACTTGACTTCCGAACGGAGGGCTAGGGAAGAACAGCCCTGCCACAGAGGACGAGGAAGGCCTTCAGCGAGTGCTTTAGCACCATGGAGGCAACAAGACTCACGCTTACGGACAGCTGTGAGGAGGGCTCTGCCCCAGGTGGTGTTTCCTTCGGTTGTGATTGGGGGATGGGGCCACTAGGGCACAGAGGGGACGCAGGGCACCGAACAGCTACCCCTACCTCACTGACAGCAAGCAGAAGCCCCGCTCATCTGTGTGAACAGGTTTGCTTTCTCTGGCACATAATTGGGGCTTGGTACAGGCAAGTGCTCAGCTACTCGGAAAGACTGTGGGTTTGAGTCCACCCAGAGGCACCTTGGAAGAAAAGTCTGGGGATTTGCGTACGGAACACTGACCCCTGGGAGTCCTTTGGAGCACAGTTCTGTGACCCAATGGGGCCACCACGAGTTGGCCAACTCTGGGGCAACTCGTTTTGCTCTGTTTGCCTTTGATTATGTGAATCTCCTGGATTCGTATTTGAGCTTGCTATCAGGAGGCTCCAGAGGCGCCAGTGGCCCTGCTCCCAGCGCTTCCAAACAGCGGAATGAGCCTGCCACCGAGGGCTAGTGCGCCTCTTTGGTTCCCTGAAGGGCACAATGAGTAGCTACAGCCTGTTCATCGGATGAAAACTACTTGACCAAGTGGTGTTTCAGGTCCCTCCCTTTTCACTTCTAACATTGCTCAGTGCTCTTTGTGGGTAACAGCATGAGCAAGCCAGGCTATTTAAACTGATAGTCTAATCTGGTGACTCTTATTTTCGATTTCTTTCTTCTTCTATAGTACTTGGAAGTTCACTCTTTGTTTGGCTTTGGCCTTTGCAATTTCACTTTAAAATCATATTTACAGATACACCCGGCTGAGTAAGTTTTACAAAATTTTTCACCAAAAACCACTTTTTTAAAATTCCAAAGCAACATGATCAACTCCAGTTGAATATACGTTGGTGGAATACAATGCTATGATAATTATAAATAAGATACATAAATTACATGTTATAAATAATAAGCAATAGTTATAATTCTTTCACAAGACTTTTTAAAAAAGCTGAGCTGTTTAAGTGCTGCTTCTCACTTAAATGTTTAAAACCATCACCTTATTTACTACCATCAAATGCAGGCTGAGAATGCACTTCTCCACCCGAGTGTCTGTTTTACTGCAGGGGCGATGCACTTATGTATGGATGAGCACTGTAAGATAATCATTAGAAGATGCCCTGCATAACACAAGTCAAGCTGCGTAGGTAACACAAGTAACTATAAATCAAATCGTCTTCAATTCACCGCACGATTGAAAAGAATTACACGGCAGTGGCTACTCTTACACATTTTAACATTCCAACTAAGTATGTCTCAAATCTAAGAATAAAACAAACAGAACACATTTTCTTTTCACAATGGAATTCGGCCATCTACCTGAAAGATCCTGAAACTCGGGCTTTTGACTGAAGATGAGGTAGTTAGTGGCAATGAAGTGAAGCAGCCAGGTAGAAAGGCAGTCCGAGTGGTGAAACTGTGGGGAAAACAGAGCGAAACCGTTTGTACATCACCGTCAGCAATACAGAACAGATGGAATAAACTGTGTGGACTGGGAGGCCACCGCCTCGTGCAATGTGTCCCTGTGTGCTGCAGCCCGCACCAGAGGTCCAGGGGCGTTACTCACAAAAACAACAAAATAACAGCTTTCAACAACGAAACCAAAAGACCTTCCACCTCCCCGTCAGCCTAACAGTGAATGAGGTAACAAGCGACTGATGCTGGAATAGCCCCCTTCTTCATGCAGGTGAGAAGACCTGGTGGTGTAGTGGTTATGACGGGCTGTGAGCGGAAAGGTCCGCAGTTGGAAACCACCAGCTGCTTCACAGGAGAAAGACAGGGCTTGCTATTCCTGTGAACAGTTATAGTCTGTGAACCCACAGGGGCAGTTCTACCCTGCCCTACTGGGTCACTACCAGTCAGAAGGGACACTTCGAAGTTCTTGAGGAATGAGGGGAAATAGTGTAGAAATTAAGACTCTTATCATGACTAAGACTTCTAAGGAAAGTCTAGACCAAGTTTCTTCCTGTGCTCAGAGACTGCTTTGTGTCTCTGAAGACAACATCAGTCATGGGATCCCATCGGTAAAAACTTCCACTGCAACTCTGACCGAGACATGAGCAGTTCTCACACAGGTAGAAAAGAGAACAAGCTATAGTTAGACTTCTGTGAGAGAAACTGCTAACGAGACTATACTAACGTTAAATACAGACATGCCTTTAGTTTGGGGGGCGTTTTTTGTTTCGTTTGTGTATCAAAACCATTTCCCCCCCTTAATCTTAAGATTACTAAGCATTTTAATTTATGATAGTTTTGTGTTTACAACAAGCTCTTTGATTTTGCTATTTTACACCATCCACCAGTATAATACACATCGAATCCATTATTACTCCTTTAACTTATTTCAGGAATTGTTTCTCAGGTTTGCTGGCCTCAGAAGCTGGGCTACCAGTGTCTAGTGATTGAATGTGCTAGCAAACACGTGACTTTGGTGGTCAGCCAAGTCTCAGAAAATGGCCCCAAGTCCCTCGTTTATGGCACCCGGTATCTGTGTTGCGTAATTGTTCCAGGAAACCAAAATCCCGTCACTTGCAGCTCCTCTGACAAAGAAGGCTGACCCCTGCAGAGGGGACAGCCAAGACCCCAGCACCTAGAACTTTGTAAATAGTTCCCATTCAAATATGCACCAAACGTACCCACCTCTCTGTAGGTGTAGCTCCTCAGAGCATTCTGGCAAAGGCATTTTGGTTTTATTTCCCTGTTTTGCAAAATGATCTTTCAATGTCACGAACGCTTAGGTTTTTAAATTTGAAGAGCCTTCAAAAGTGGTTTTTTCCCCTGTGATAGAATTGACATTTAAATTTACCCAAAAGGCATGGACTTCACAGCCCATGTGTGGCAGTGGTGAGATGGCGCCTAACCATGGTCTAGATTCTTGGTCAGAGTCAAACAAGGTCCTCCGTGGAGCAAACGGAAAAATAGTTTCGAAGAGAAAATAGCATTGGCCTAAGAATGTGGATTTCAATGTGTAAATATTTCTACAAGATAGTTTTAGCTGAACAGAATTCTCCTAAGTAGGATGTGTTGCCAGACGGTAGAGGGATAACTGGCATACATGTCCTCCATCAGAGTGCCAACAGCTGCTAATAGAAGGGGCACTCACAGCCACGTGGTGCCCCTTGTGCCATGCAGTGACCTGTGCCTCTCCCACCCAACCACCCCAGCTTGCTGGCAGACAACTTCTGTACAGGAACCCAGCTCTTTGGAGGACACTCTAAATAAATCATGCAAAATTTGGAACACATTTGTAATCTCAAATCGACAAAATAAAAAAGTTGCTCTTTAAAAACAAAAGCTATAATATGGGATTCTTTTTATAAGTAAACTGAGAGACGCCTCTTTCTTTTTACAACTTGTTTGGTACCGACTCACGGCGATCCTATGCACAACAGAACAAAGCCTCTTGATGGCTGTCTTTCAGCCAATGGCTGCCACGTTGTGTCCACCCTCCACGTGAGCATCAGTGCCACTGCTTCTTGTCACGTGCTATCGCTGGAAATGGTTGAAGGTTCACTAGTCTTCCTTTGTACAGGGATTCTGTACATTCCTTCCATCTTCTTTGGATGCTTCCTGCCTCCTTCCATATTTTGCCCATAAAATCTTTCAATATTGCAACTCAAGGCTTGAATTTTTGCTTCAAGTGTTTCGGTTTAAGATATGCTAAGTGCGCGGGGAGGGAGGGGAAAAATGAGGAGCTGATACCAAAGGCTTAAGCAGAAAGCAAATGTTTCGAGACTGATGATGGCAACAAATGTACAAATGTGCTTGACACAATGAATGGATGCATGGATTGTGAGGAGTTGTATGAGCTCCCAATAAGATGATTTTTAAAAAAAGATATGCTAAGTGTGTTCTTCCTTTTTAGTTTTCCAACTCTAGGTCTTTGCACATTTCATTGTATTTGACTGTCTTCTCGGGTTTCCCTTTGAAATGTTCTATTCGGCTCTGACCACATCATTTCTTCCATTTGCTTCAGCTACGCTAAGATTAAGAGCAAGTTTCAGAGTCTCTTCTGATATCCACGCGGATCTTTCCTTTCTTTCTTGTCTTTTTAATGACCTATTTTTCTTCATGTGTGATGTTCTTGAGGTCTCGCCCACAACCATCAGTTCTGCTGTTAGTGTTCAACGCATCAAGCCTGTTCTTGAGCTGTCCGTGACATGCAGGTGGCGCAGACTCACGGTCGCATTTTGGCTCTCATGGGCTTGTTTTAATTTTCTTCATCTTCAACCTGAACTTACGCGTGAGCATTGGGTGGTCTGTTTCACAGTCGGCCTCTGGCCTGGTTTAGCTGCCGATATTGAGCATCTCCATGGTCTTTCCCCACAGAGGTAGTGGATGGGATTTTTGTGTATTCCCTCTGGAGGGGGCCGTCGGGAAGTCATCTTCTGTATTGTTGTAAAAAGGCATTTGCAACGAAGGCAACGTTGCTCTTGCGACTTGTTATCACCTGATCTCCAGCTTTGTTTCTGTCACCAGGCCATATTTTCTGACTACAGATTTGTTACTTATGAAATCAGAATTTTTCATGTGGAAGGGATTCCACAGCTCATCTAATCCCACCTGACATGTCACATCTTTCCCCTCTTATTTTTTTGCAGGTGAACGGTTGTGGCCTCAGTGGAGTCGAGCAAACGCAGGCGAAGCCACCGGCACTGTGAGATGATTACCTGGAACAGACACCCTCCCATGAGAAGGTCCTGAGACGGCTTAAGGGATGCAATTTTGGAAGAGAAGGGAGATTACAGAAATGAGCAACTAACTACAAAAACATGGCTAAACTGCACTATATTTGTAACCCAGATTTAAGAGATCCTAACTATGGGCTCTTAGTAAGAGATGCAATATTGTTGGTGTTGTGAGGTGCCAAGGAGTCCACAGGGCCCCATCGAGACACTGGCACAGCAGGACCAGACACTGGGGGGCCGGGGCCTCCTCACAGCTGCTCCTCGCCTTGAGCCCATGGTTGCTGTCACAGTGTCAACCAGCTCCTTGAGGGCCCTCCTCTTTGCCACTGCCCCCCCTCCTTGCCAAACGTGATGTTTTTCTCCAGGGGCTGGTCTCTCCCAATGACATGTCCAAATTATGTAAGACAAAGTCTTGCCATCCTTACTTCTAAGGAGCATCTGGCCTTACGTCTTCCAAGACAGATCAATTTGTCCTTTTAGCAGTCTGTGGTACTTTCAATATGCCCCAGCACAATAATTCTTCTTTGGTCTTCTTTATCCAATGGCCAACTGTCATATGCATATGAGGCAATGGAGAATAAGTACCATGGCTTGGATCAGGGCTACCTTGGTCCTCAAAGAACATCCTTGCTCTTCAATACTTTTAAGGGGTCTTGTGCGGTAGATTTACCACAGAAGCCAAATTGACTACATCTGTGGGAAGAAACGGAGGTGCCCTCATGGTATAGTGATTAGACATTGGGCTACAATCTGCATGGTTGGCAGTTTGAAACCACCCACCTTTCCATGGTGGAAATACTGTGAGCAGTTACAGTCTCGGTGGTTGCTACCAGCCAGCATTGACTCAAAGGCAGTGAATGTGAGGTTAAGTGGGAAGAGACAATGGAAATGCTCATTATCAGCAGCTAAAACCAGGCCAGGTTTTGACTGTGGAACGTAATTGGTCATATATAAGTTCAGAGTAAAGCTGAGGAGATGGAATACTTCCCACTAATTGTGGAAATGCCTTTTATGGAAGAATATGGGCTGGCCTGAGATAATAGGCTGAAGTCAAATTAGGCAACAGAAATAAATCACAATAAACACAACTTAGAAGCACTGCGTGTGCTCTTCCCTTCGGGCTTGTTTCTTTGAAATCGTTTTATTGGGGCTCGTACAGCTCCTATCACAACCCATACCTCCATCCATTGTGTCAAGTCTCTGGCTTTCTAGCTCCAGGTCTGCACGCACTTCCTTCTAAGCCTTCACTGTCGTCTGGCGCCCCCCGTGACATGGGTCACTTCATGCTTTCTCCCTGTCAAGACTCAGCTGCTCTACTTTCCAGAGCAAGTCTCAGAGTCTCTTCTGGCATCCATTTTGGTCTTTTCTTTGTTTCCAATCTTTTTAGGGATTAAAACAACTACATTGGAAGTTTTCTTTTGCACAGCAATTTAAAGGGATACAGTATCTACAAACTAAGGAGGGAACAGTTGTACTCATTTTTTGGAAGTGTGACAGGTTTGTGTGGTAGTTAGGGATTATGTCAACCAGACACTGGCTGGCAGAATGAAACCTGTCCATCAAGTCATAGTCTGATGACAGGCCCTTGATGTCATAAGCCTTTTGTTTAAGTGTGAGGGACTCGGGAACTGCTCTCTCTGCCCCTTTAGCTTCCCCCTCGCTGGGACTTCACTGGGACCGTGTGCCTGCCTCCAGGAGCGGCCCTTGGGGGCCACTGGAGCCTGGGAGTGGTCAGTGCCCTGCCACGTTTTCAGACTTTGGCTCCACGTGACTGCACTCGCCGGACTGTGATTTGCCTGTGTCCTGCTTCACCTCGCGGCATCAGCCCCATGAGTCTGCAAAGGCCCTGGCTTGCACTGGACTTTGGGCCTTGAGTTAGGCTGCCTTCTTGACGTAAAATCGCTTCTTAATACAAAGTTCTTTCTTATACATAGATGAGTCTCACTGGATTTGCTCCTCCAGCCTAACACAGTTTGGTGTGATAGTATGAGACTAAAACATTAAAATTGAGGTTACAAAAATGCTAGAAAAAAAATTTTTTTAACCCCTAAACTAAATTTTGAGGATAGCTAGAACTCCGTGCTCAGTGAACATCTATTAAATAGAGAGTAGTTTACTCAATTTATCTCCAATATTGTCAGATATGGCCTTACGACTTGCTCGTCAGAGAAATAAGACCGTTAAGGAAATGGTCCGAGAAGACATGTCAGAAGTATACACGTGGATTAATGAATTCATCTCAGCACGAAGGAGAGTTGTCAGCTGTCACACAGCTCTGCCTGCCGCCTCATGGCGTGGCCACACTTCAGTCACCTGAGAGCAGACACAGCTGCCCGCCCTTCTAACCCGGGTGTCTGCTTGGAAAAGGCAAGAGGGGCCCACTGCACTAAAAATCAGACTTATGGATGACAGAGAACACGCACGAAGATTCTGGCAATGTTCAGAAATAGGTAGTGGAGATGGTGACGCAATTGTGGTGAATGCCGTCAGAAAACAAACACCAAACCCACCGTGTCCAGTTGATTCAGACATGCAATGACCGACCGGGCAGAGGAGACCTGCCTCACACCGTTTCCGAGCAGGAACCCTTTTGAAAGTGGACTGCCCCATCTTTCTCCTGGGGGTGAGGGGTCGCTGGTGGGTCTGGACCACCAACCTTTGGGGTCGTAGCTGGGAACGTAACTATTCTGCCACCAGGACTTAAGGGTGAATATATGAATATCACAGAATTGTACACTTAAACATATTTTCAGTCACACATTTGGGGGTACAGATATTTGCTGTACCATTATTTTTTAAAAAGAGATTTTTAAAAGCTCCTTATCATCTGTGTTGATGGATCCAATATATTCTATGAAAAAGGCCTAGAGCAACGGTTCTCAACCTGTGGGTCACGACCCCTTTGGGAGGTTAAACAATCCTTTCACAAGGGCCGCCCGATTCATAATAGTAGCAAAATTACAGTGGTGAAGTAGCAACAAAAATAATTTTATGGTTGGGGGCCACCACAACATGAGGAACTGTATGAAAGGGTCGCGGCATTAGGAAGGTGGAGAACCCCTGGCCTAGAGGGTTCTGTGCACTACCAATGCAGGACACACCCACCGCGTGCTAGGACCACAGCGAGCCCTCCGCCGGCCTGAGGAGAGTGGACAGAATGGGAGAACGACCAGGGAGAGACGGGCCTGCTGAGAACACTGACCCTTTCAGAAATGTAAGCGGCCAGAAGGAAGGAGCTGGACCTTTCTTTCCGGAACTCCACCTACGAGGAAGGGTCCCGGGGCTACCTGTCGGACTGCTCACAGCAAGGTCAGCAGATTGAAACCACTAACCGCTCCACGGGAGGCAGAGGCGAATTTCTATTACTGTACAGAGTCAGCTCCACGTAAAAAGTTCCAGTCTCGGGAACCCACAGGGCAGTTCTCCCTGTCCTACAGGGTTGCTGTGAGTCGGCATCGAATTGGTGGCAGTGAGTGTGGACTCACAAAATAGAGTTCCACGAAGCTGGCCTTGTTTGTTTCCAGATGTGGTCCAGTTCTTTGTCAGACTCAAGTTTTGGAACCTTTGTGGCTGCAATGATGCTGGACTAGCTGAACTATATAAAGCCCATCTATGGCCTTGAATGAGTGGTAGTACAATGCTGAAAAGGAAAAGAGCCGTGAACTTAGAAGAGGCTCAGAGGACACACGGTGTACCACAGTGATTCTCGACTTCACACGTGTTGCTGGCATTTTCCTGATCCAGCAAGACATACCACCACAGGAAGTTTTGAAAACAGGCATGCAGTGACTTCAAAACATGTTTCTGAGAGCAAATCAAGACTGAATGAGAACATGAATAAGTTGAGACTAACCATCTCTATCAGTCTCTCCTGATAGCGTGTCCAAGTAGGTGAGATAAAAGGCCCCTGTCGGGAAAGATCGCAGTGGGAGGCTGACGCAGTGGCTGCAACAATGGGCGCAAACATGACAGCACTGGTGAGGAAGGTGCGGGCCGCGCAGGGTTCCGTTCTGCTGTGCACAGGGCGGGTCACCCAGGGTGAAAACGACTTGAGGACACCTAGTATTGCGTAGTAGGGATGGACCAGGCTTCCTGCTCCCCTTTTTGGAACCATAAATGGGCTCCGTTTTAGGAAAATGTATTGAAATGACTAAGTACCTCTGACCCGGACAGCACCATATTCAAATGACTTGCTAAGGGTCCAAAGTGAAAACCTAAAAAACAAACTCACTGCCATCGAGTGGCTTTCGATCCATAGCAACCATGCAGGACAGGGTAGCCCTTCAACCTTGAGTTTCTAAGCAGCCTCATTTTTCTCTCACTGAGCAGCTGCTGGATTCAAACCGCTGACCTTGTGGTTAGCCACTCAATGCATAGCCCAATAATAGCTTACTAAGCCACCAAACCTCTTTAAGTGTCACGATCTGTTTGAAAAAAAATTCACACCCACAGTTCTATCTCCTTAAAAAAGGAATGAACAAAGGCCCTAAGATAAGTTACTGAGCCATAGACATTACTGCGATGCCAAGGCAGCATTATTTAGGCCAAAGTTCCTAACCAAGATAAGCGAGTTATATTTAATTAATATGACCCTGCAAGCCATACTCCCTTATGTGATACATTATCATTCTGGATGTCATATGCCTGTGCCCACAGACCCATTTTGGAGGGCATTATCTGCCAAGGAACAGGGCTCAGGTGAGATTAAGTTCTGACCTCAGTAGCGGGTGTGAATCGGACCACACTTTGTTTGACGGTTATCTTCATTACTATTACTTACAATGGGTGTAAGGAATTATGTACTACAGCTGAGCGGAGAAAGAAACCTGTTTATAGCATGGCCTGA